ATTTTTTGTTCAACTTCTTTACACTTTAGAACAAGATTGATAGCTCAGATATTAGACATATGTCTTCTTTTTTGTTTTAAAATAAGTGGAAGACCAGGTAATATTTTGGGTTTTGAAGCATAGAGAGCTTGAGTGGTATGATTTGTGAGTTCATAAAAACTTGAAGAAGCACTGACAAGATTCTGCGATTTGAAAGGTGTAAATTATAATTCTTTGTATTCAAATCTTAAAACTGGCACACCATATGTAGACATAAATAAGGAGTAAAATTAAAGTTCTTTGTGGATATAAAGTAATGGAACTAGTTTTCACAGGTATGTGGGTTCTGGAAATACTTTATAATTGCCAGATGAGGTAGCAAATTTATCTGTATTAATAGTTCAAATTACTGGGTTGGACATGACCGGTAACACAAAGATGTAGAAGATACCTGATGTATAAGCGCCTACTGAGTTCATAGTTGAGTCAGCAAGTAAGGCACACCACTACTCAAAAACCTGGTAGTAATATTCTAGAAAGCACTTTGACCAAGGCATGTAGTTTATGTCCTAGAGGTGGTTTCCTCACTTGTAAAATGAGGACATTTCAATTAGATCTTACAGGTGCCCTCCAGTATTGGGGCTCCTGGGTGGCTCAGTGGGTTAAGTATCTGACTCTGAATTTCAGCTCAGGTCATGATTTCATGGTTTGTGAGATTGAGCCCTGCATCAGACAGCATGGAGCCTGCTTGGGATTCCCTTTCTCTCTCTTTATCTCTCTCTCTCTCCATAAATAAACTTTTAAAAAAATGCCCTCTAGAATTAATATAAGGATAGCAAATTCATTTATAACATAAGGACTTAATATGATACAACTTTTTAGGTGTATCTATTCATTGTAATAAATACGGGAATTTCTGCTTTTGGAGAATAAACAATCATCCTTAACCTACAGTTTAGAAGGTAATCTCATTTTTTCCAAAACTATTGAAGTACCTCAAATCTTACACAACTAGTTCTTTTCACTGACCATTTCTTTTGGTACATATTCGTTGTTAACCTTACAAATGATTAGAAAGATGTGTATTTTGGTAACTTTTCAAGAGGAGCTAGCCTTTCATATTCTCAAATCTTAACAAGTAGTGAATTTGTTTGCTCTCATTTAAAATGTTCTGTGAAAAAGATGTCATCATGGCACTCTTAAAAAGGAAACTCGCTCATTCTACTTTGTTCTGGTAGATCAGACTGCTGAAAGACAACTTGAGAAATGAACTCTTTGAGAATCATTGATTCCAATATTTTTGCCTTTTTAAAAACTTTTTATTTTGCTTTAATAAAAAGTATTCTCCAAACAGTAACTTTGAAGGTGTCACAAATGACATTGCAATTATAGAAATGCAAAGACATTACTTCCTGGGTCAGGTCAAATCTCAGCATCCTGTCCAAGAACACGAGTACAGCATGTGATAGAAATTTAGGTACTGCTCTTCCAGTGGGAGAGGGATAATATTGGCCACCAGACAAAGAGGCTGACTTTTAACTTGTTTGACAAAATTCCTGAGGGAGTTCTGGTCACCCTTTTCCTGACCATGGCTGTATATTCGTCATGATGACTTGAAGCTGTTGTTGCCTTTTTTAGTTTTTAGAAAACTTTCATATTAGAGAGCACGAGCAGGGAAGGGAGGCAGAGAGAATGAGAGACAATCTTAAGCAGGCTCTGTGCTGAGCACGGAGTCCGATGCGGGGCTCGATCCCATGCTGCTACGATCATGACCTGAGCTGAAATGAGGAATCGGACCCATAATGGACTGAGCCACCCAGTGCTCCACAGCTGTCATTTTTGGTAGTGAATGTTGATCTTCCAACTCACCCTGGAACTGATGATCTAAACTTGAGAATTTTTTAGTATCTGAATCATTATACCATGAATTTTTTTTAGTCTTAGCTACAAAGGTAGAAAACACTTCTGTAAATTTATTTCCTATTAAAACTCTCCTGAAGTATTTCTTCTTAGTGCATTTTTCTGTGACTTTTTTTTTTTAAAGCTTTTCTTACCAAGTATGGAATTTGTATTTTGTGATTTTAAAAAAAAAAAAAGGTAAACCCAATTATACTAAGCAGTCATGTGAAAGTTGGGTTGGTTGATGGGTTCTTCACTTTTTCATTACTCTTCGTAAACTACTGACTTGTCAGTCTAAAACATTTAAACTTGAGTGGAATTCCACAACAATTAAAAATGTTTTTATATTATAATGACCTGCAAAAAATACTTGAGAAAAATGCTGAAAAAAATGCATAAATTTTAAAAGTAAAACTCAGGTCTTAGATATATAATACAGACATATTAACATTTATAAAGAATTACCCCCCCCCCCTTTCACCTAACAATTTGGCAGACTATATCAAAAGCCATAAAAACAAATCCTAATCTTTGGCTCAGTAATGCTTTTATTACTAGGAAATTTTTCCAAAGGAAATAATCACAGGTAGTCAATGATTACAAAAATGTTTAGTGTTACTTATAAAGGAGAAAAACTAGAAACAACCTAAATATAGAATGTCTGTATCTTATTATATGTTTGTATTCTATTATTCATTTGCTTTAAAAATAACTAGAAATGCCTTGACTTTATTCCATTTTAATCAGGGTTTTGTTTTTAAATCATTTTTTTAAATGTACATTGGAAGAAGGAACTCAGGAAGTAAAACTCCTTAATTAAATCTAATGACTGTGTTTATATAGACAAATGACTTCTGTGATTTACGTTAAAAGCTTCTGTTTACAGTGCTCATATTTGTTTATACCAGAATCTCTTAAATACTGACCTTTATGGAAACAGACAGATGTAACATGTTTACTGATTTTTGACTTTCCACTCCACACACATAAGTCTAAAAAATGAATAAATATGCTTCTTGATTTAAATATGTAGCTTGAACATGTTTTATACCCCAGGATTAAAAAAAAAATGTGCCTCAGCAAAGCTTTTATTAAGGTGCTAGTCAAAACAACTATCACTTCAGTGATTTCTTTATTGACTTAAGAACTATAGTGGGAGAATAATAAGTAATTTGTATTTTCCATCAGTGTAAAAACTCATACAGGCCTTATTTTAGGATTCAGAATCTTTTTTTGAACGAGTGTGTGTGTGTATGCGCGTGTGCGCACACATGCCCAGTGCTCGTATGTGCACACGTGCGTGCTATTGAGAGAAACATGGCAGCCTTTCTTCTCCACCCGCCCTCCCCCCACCCCCCAGTAACGGCTGATTTCAGGATGCATGGCCAGAAACAGAGGACTGTTCACGAAGATACTGATCCTTTCACTTGTGCCATGGTTCCTGTTCTCCTGGTTGTATTTAGGTCACTGAAGTGTGATTACAGAGAGAGGATTACAAAATAGAAAAATGAGATCTCTTAATTGACAAATTTACAGGTTACAGAATGCCATTGTCCCCCCTCATGTATAATTTATATCTTTAGGACAGAGCCATGACATCTGATTGACATTTAACCGGGATTAGAAACTCAATTCAGTTGAAAAGTATATCTTGTGTGACTGATTTGAAGTCCTCCCTTGAGAATTTGGGCCTTTTTTAAGCACTTTAGTTTGACCAAAAGCATAATCAAGTTTTAGTTATTTGCAAGCATAATCAAATTTTAGTTATTTACAAAAATCCTTGGATTTGAAAGCTTTAATGGGTTGTTTTTAATGATTTTTTTTTTTTTTTTTTTTTTTTTTTTTTTTTTTTTTTAGTGTGCGACTGAGTAGTTGTCCGTGTGTTTATGGTATTGCGCGGTCATCACCATAATCTTTAGAACATTTTCATGACTCTCAAAAGAAACACCGCCCCAGTCAGCAGTCTCTGCTCATTCCCTTCCCTCTTACCCTTTCTCAGCTCTGGAGAATCACTGATCTACTTTGTCTCTATAGATTGGCCTATTCTGGACGTTTCATGTAAAGACAACACATAATGAGTAATCTTCAGTGACTGGCTTTTTCCACTTAGTATAATATTTTTAAGCTGTAACGCTGTATGTATTCATGTTGTAGATGTATCTATACTCCATTTTCTTCTGTTGCTCATTGTTTATTCTGTTGTATGGGTATATAGCCTTTTAAAATTTATTTACCAGTTAATGGACATAGGCTTCCACTTGGCTATTATGACTAATGCTTTTATTAATCATGTACATTTGCACAAATGTTTGTGTAGACATGTTTTCATTTCTCTTTAGTAGATACTTAAGACTAGAATTGCTGTGTTATACAGTTTACCATTTTTAGGGACTTCTAAGAGTGTACCGCTTTATTAAGAGCCAACAGTGTTTTTTCACCTTTGAAATATGTTGAGATACGGAATGAAAGCAAGGAAAAGAGAAATGCCAATGCCCTAAATCCTCATTGATCTTTAGCTTATTTGCTGTGTTTGCCAGGTCTGTCTGGTAATCATTCTCCACACAAACACTAAGGGGCCTTCTGAAACTGAAAAGGGCATTATTACTGATGATGTTGGGGCAGCAGGAATGAGTTGGAACCGTCCTCAGCAAATTAGGACCAATGGTTAACCAACAAGGAAAGGCTATTAGGTTTTGCTTCCTTCCCTCTTCTGAGAAATAAGAACCAATGGGAATAGGGAGGAGGCATCTGAGAAGTGAAGTCAGTCACAGGGGAAATTTTAGCACCGTCTCTGTCTTCTGCCCTAGTCTCTCAAATAAAAAAGCATTTTTGAAAACATGTGAAACTTGAGCTACTTTACCCCTATCTGCAGGTTGAGGTTCCAAAGGTAAGAATAAAGTGGTTGAAACGAATGAAGTGGTGGCTTGTTAATTTTTCTAATACTTTCCTGAACTGATCACTTTATTTTTTCCAGGGAACAACACATCATTACAACCTGAAAGCATCTTAGAAGCTTTCAACTGTGCTAAAAAACCTAGGAGATAGACAATTTTTCCTTTCGTTTCATTTGAAAGGATTGAAAGAAGAAAGAAGATGGCAGAGGCTTAAAGTTGATATTCAGGATGAATGATGATAATTCAGATGAGAAGACAGAAGATGAACGGCTATCCTTACTTCTCAGTGGTAAAAATGGAAATACCTGTGCATACAACCAAAACTCCCCACATACACAAAACTCCTCAGCCGATAGTGTGAGTTGGAACTCTGCGAACCCGGATGACATGGTGGTTGATTATGAAACCAGCTCTGCCGTGGACATTGCTGAAAACAATACTTTAACTCCTCAGTGTGTAGAAGTGCTTCATCACCAAAAGTCGTCAAGTGAGTTGATTAGGAAGGAGGTGTTAGACACCCACAAAGCCTCCACACGTCAGTCTTGTGTGCACGTTGTGAATACAGAGGAGCCAAAGTACCCGTCTAACCGTTGTCATTCCCTGGAATCATTACGGGACCAGAGTGCTGAGACATCGCTGCCTTTTGTGTGGAAACCCAACGATGATGATTTGAACTGTCCACATTGTCTTACTGCCTTGGAGCCAAACCAGACATTTGACATGACAGTGGATGATGTTGACTGCACCTTCGTAACACGTCATGCCATTGGGAAGAGTCAGTCTTTGCATACGACTGGAAATCTGCAGCCGACCGGCATGAGGAGTGGAAACCCATCTTTATCCTGTTCTACATCTCCCTGTTCTGATAAGATACATGTGAGAGAATTGAATTATGATCAAGACAGCTTTGAAAACCCTCAAGCCACAGCAGCAGAGGCCCAAGATACAACGTACATAGCATTTCCTAATGTGATGCAAACTGGTATTGTTGTTCCAGATCTTGGCATTCAGTGTCAGTATTCCACAGGACAGATCACCAGTGACTACACAGATGGGTCACAGCAAGGATTAGTTGGAGAAAAAGAGATACAAGCTCCAACACCAGTTTCTGAGAGCATGGATGTTCCCAATGGGGCTGTATTACAAGAGTTCTTTTGTTTATCGAAAGATGAACCAAATAGTGAGACACATTCACAGGCCTCATATGGGCAAAAGGAAATGGGCCAAAATCTCAGAGAAACAGTGTCCAATTGTCTTAAAGATGATGAATGCCCTTTACTGGTGCCAGCTTTTGATAAAAGTGAAGCCCAAGTACTGAACCCAGAACATGAAGTCACGGTGGCTGGAGATGCACACAATGCCTCTCATGAAAAGGATTTGGAAACCCAAAATCGTACCATAGAATTGATACTGACTAGCCCACTGGGACAGAAGATGGCTTCGTCAGTTGAACTGAGTTGGGATGCAAATGATACGGTCATTAACACAAATAATACGGTTTGCATGTCAACACCAGTCCTAGAACCCCCAAATACAACCTTTTCTATTTCACCTATTGAAGTGGCAGAGAAATGTAGTAAAGTGGAGAAGAGTCATCAAGAACTTAGAAATGTACCGAGCTTGAAGGGGGCACCTGTGAACACGTGTAAACCTAATCTAGGAAAATTGACAACTAAAATGAATACTCCAATAGGCAGCAAAGTTAGAAAAACTGAAATTATAAGTTACCCAAGACCAAACTTCAAGAATGTCAAAGCAAAAGTTATGTCTAGACCAGTGTTGCAGCCCAAAGACCCTGCTGCATCAAAGGTCACACCCAGATCTCAGCTAACCATTGCCTCATCACCCTTATCCGTGTCTTCCTCAAGACAGTTGACAGCTTTGAGCAAAACACCAAGGTCTGACTTGAATGCAGATACAAAAGCAGAAATCCTAATTAACAAGACACACAAGCAGCAATTTAATAAACTCATTACTAGCCAGACTGTGCATGTTACAACTCATTCTAAAAATGCTTCACACAAGGTTCCAAGAACAACATCTGCCATGAAATCGAATCAGGAAGATGTTGACAAAGCAAGTTCTAATTCAGCATATGAGACTGGGTCCGTGGCTACCTTCTTTCAGAAGATGAAAGGCATACTCCCTGTTAAAATGGAAAGCACAGAATGCTTGGAAATAACATACACTTCTGACATCGATGGGATTAGCCCTGAAAAGAAGGGTGAAAAAGAAAATGGGCCACCTATGGAAAAACAAGAGCTAAAAAAGGAAATTATGAATGAGACCTTTGAATATGGTTCTCTGTTTTTGGTAAGTCAGATTTTTGCCTACTTCAGAGAAGGGTTGGAGGGAGCAGAGTATGCATTAGCAATTGGTCTTCACAAATAGTCAATAATATTGCCAAACTAGGTGTGCAAGTTTGCTTTCAGGTTAATATTTTATTCAGTAATTGTTTGTCATCTTAGTTATATACTTCAGAGTGTTAATTGGCTACAAGATAGGGAAAGTGCATGTGGAGAAAAAATCGTCAAGTACAGTATTTTGTATTGAGTGGCAATGTTCCTTTTAATGAGGGGAAAGAGCTTCTTTTATATTTTGGTGTAATTAGTTATTGGAAGTTAAATATCTGATTGTATTTCATATCTCAGGGGGGAAAAAAAAGAGATTTGTTTGTGAACTTTAAAATGTGTTGGGCCACATTTAAGAAATGGCTGGGGAGAGCCAGTAAACAGTCTCAACATAAAAATAACTCCTGGTCTCTTGTGGAGGAAGCTGCCCAGGGAAGGGGAGACGTCGCCTGTGAACCCGGTGAGGGGGGGGGTTGGGGGTTGGGATTCTGCCTCTGATCAGCTAATGTGATCTGAAAGGATTGGACTAGGCGATGTCTGAGGTCTCTTGCAGCCCTAACCTGATGATTCCTGGTACATTAAGATAAACCCCTTTTATTCATGTACAGTGAAAAAGCAGTCTGTTGTCTGTAGCACCTGTCACATATTTGATGTGTGTGTAGGGGGGCGGAGGAGACAGGATAGTCTCCTTCAAACAAAAAATTCACAGGTGGATTAAAGATGATTTTTCTTTAAACATACCTGTATCTTTGTCAGTAACATGAAGAAACTAGTTTTCTGAGTTTTAAGAACATTTGTCGGGCCATTCTTGGGCTTTGTGTACTCGTCCTCAGTCCTGTTTTTCGCAGAAGGGACTTACATGTATTTTTGGCCCCATGTCGACCTTTCTTGGGCTCCGGCCCCCCGGGCTAGGAATGGAGTGGGGTGCCAGGTAGGAAGGCAGATGTGAGGCATCTGTGTTCTGTGTGGAGGGCTCAGGTTGGAGAGGAACGAAGCTCGTAAGGTGTAGGGAAGTGTTGAAGGTCTGTTTCAGAAGTGTTTTCAGGGTGCATAGGGAATTGTTAGGTCCTTTTAGGAAGTAAGTTAGGAAAGACCAGATATTCTTCAGCTATATCAGTTTAGGGATGTTTTGGATTTTGTGACTTTTGGGGAAGAATGGTACACCTTAACGATGTCTAAATTAATGTGATTGTCTATTTTAAAACTCCGATTTTTTTTTTAAATTTTTTTTTCAACGTTTATTTATTTTTGGGACAGAGAGAGACAGAGCATGAACAGAGGGGCAGAGATAGAGAGGGAGACACAGAATCCGAAACAGGCTCCAGGCTCTGAGCCATCAGCCCAGAGCCCGACGCGGGGCCCGAACTCACGGACTGCAAGATCGTGACCTGGCTGAAGTCGGACGCTTAACCGACTGCGCCACCCAGGCGCCCCTAAAACTCCGATTTTTAAGTTCTTTTCAAGTCAAACGTAGGAAACTTGTTTTATGTCATTTGTATTTTGATATTTTGCCAAATCAAACTATAACCTCTGGTAATTCTAATCAACGTTCTTAGTTTGGTGTTTATAGCTATACATAAAAAAACAATACATTTATTCCTCCTTGATTTATGGGAGGCTTTCATTACGTATCTACACCCAACTGAAAGTCTCTCTAAAAAACATTTGGCTTGACTATAAATTGGTTGTCTGATTGTGAAATTAAAAGCTTTTCTGTGTGCACTGAGTAAATCTTAGGCTTTCGTTCTGCACATGGGAAGCAGAAAGCTGTTTTTCAGGTTCATGATGTGATATTGAAGTAAGGTGTTAGAAACGTCAGGTTGACATGGATCCTGGCACATCTTGGGGAAGAAGCACTTTTTATTTCTGGAAAAAACCCAGCCAACCTCATTCTTTACCCATGTCTTAAATGCAGTTCCCTCCTAATAGCACTGTTTTGCCTTGTACATGTTTGCACGTATCATGGGGAAGGGACAGGCCACAGGCTCTGTTCTTATTGTAGAGAACCGAATGAGTGACCACTTGCTTCATGTTGACTCAAACTGCCATGTTTCTTGGTCACTTAAACAGGATCCAAAGGTTGTAAATCTTCCCTAGGTCTATGAGGGGACGGTGCTGGAAGGGTGTTAGTTTTCAGTGTGCTCTGGGGGTCTTGGGCTAAATTAGTCCTTGAGTTTACCAAATTCTTAGGTTGCCTACAATCTCACAGCTGTTGAGTCAGTGTCTATCTGAAACTTCAGAAACATTCTAGTTTGGAAGAAGGAATTTGATTTTAATTTGATGCTGGTTGCTTGTAGCTACCCATTACAAAGGTTATGTGTTGGTGATTGTGTGTTAGATAAAGGAGGTGGTGAATTAGTTGAAAGGAATTGGTATTTTTTTTGATAGCTCCTCTGAACCGCTTTGCTCAGGTTTTGTATATTATTATTCTGTCATTAAATTTTCCCAGTAATATATACATCATCATTCACTCTTTCCAGTAACAATGGGCCAGTTGTCAGCCACATTTAAAGGCTTCAGAGACATTATTTAAAACATACAGAGCTGGTAAGAACTAAAATCTAGATTCAGACTCAGGGCTCATGACTGGAATCCTGACCCTTTCTGCTTCATACACCACAAGGTTTCAAAATTTGGCAGAATATAGGCTAGCAAGGCAGAGTAAATTTGATGTAACCAGCTTACAAAAGTGAATCTTTAACAAAAGTGTGGTTTACTTTTTAAAAGGTTTTCTCTGGGGGATTATCTTAACCAGCTTCATGTAGAAGTAGATGTTTGTAGTTTGTGGACATTGACCTGCTCTTGGGGGCCGATTTTATGTAATGTTCTTAGGATATTACCCTATTGGTTTTTTTAGTCAACCCTGTGATACTTTAATTTTTTAATTTTAATTCCAGTATACTTAACACACAATGTTAGTTTCAGTTGTACAATATAGTGGTTCAACAATTCTGTACATTACTCAGTGCTCATTGTGATAAGTTTACTCTTCATTCCCTTCACCCATTCCCTTACTCACCTCCCCTCTGTAACCACCAATTCTCTGTAGTTAAGAATCTGTTTTTTGGTTTATCTCTGTTTTCCCTTTGCTCATTTGTTTTGTTTCTTTCTTCTTCTTCCTCTTTTTTTTTTTTTTTAGTGTTTATTTTTGAGAGAGAGAGAGAGAGAGTGCAAGTGGAGGAGGGACAGAGAGACAGGGGAGAGAGAATCCCACAGTAGGCTCTGTGTTAGCAGCCTCCAGAGCCCCACAGAGCCTGCCATGGGGCTCCATCTCAGGAACCCTGAGATAATGACCTGAGCCAAAATCAGGAGTTGGACGCTTAACCACCTGAGCCACCCAGGCACCTTGGCACCTCTGTTTTGTTTCTTAAATTCCACATACGAGTAAACTCATATAGTATTTGTCTTTCTTTTATTGACTTATTTCACTTAGCATTATACTCTCTAGTCTATTCATGTTGTTGCAAATGGCAAGATCTCATTTTGTTTATGGTTGAATACTATTCCATTGTGTATACACAAACGTATACACACACACACATCACATTTTCTTTATCCATTCATCGATTGATGGACACTTGGGATACTTCCTTAATTTGGTTATTGTATTATTGTAGATAGTGCTGCCATAAACATAAAGGTGTGTGTGTCTCTTTGAATTAGTGTTCTTGTACTTTTTGGGTAAATACCCAGTAGTGCGATTACTGGATTGCAGGGTAGTTCCATTTTCAACTTCTTTGAGGAATCTCCATTGTGTTTTCCACAGTGGCTGCACCAGTTTGGGTTCCCACCAGCAGTGTACAAGGGTTCCTTTTTCTTCGCATTCACACCAAGACTTGTTACTTTTTGTGTTGTTGATTTTAGCCATTCTGACAGATGTTAGATAATATCTTAATGTGGTTTTGATTTGCATTACCCTGATGATAAGTGATATTTTCATGTATCTGCTGGCCATCTGGATGTCTTTTTTGTGTCTGTTAATGTGTTCTGCCCATTTTTGAATTGGTTTATTTGTTTTTTTGGTGTTGAGTTGTATAAGTTCTTCATATATTTTGCATACTAACCCTTTATTAGGTATGTTATTTGCAAATGTCTTCTTTCATTCCTTATGTTGCCTTTTAGTTTTGTGATTGTTTCCTTTGCTGTGCAGAAGCTTTTTGTTTTGATGTAGACCCAGTGGTTTATTTTTGTTTTTATCTTCCTTGCCTTAAGAGACATATCTAGAAAAATGTTGCTAACTGCTGATGTCAGAGATATTTCTGCCTGTGCTCTCTTCTGGGATTTTTATGCTTTCAGGTATCACATCTAGGTCTTTAATTCATTCTGAATATATTTTTGTGTATGGCGAAAGAAAGTGGTCTAGTTTTGTACTTGCATAGGCTGTCCAGTTTTCCCAACGCCATTTATTGAAGAGATTGTCTTTTCTCATTGTATATTCATTCCTTCTTTGTTGAAGTTTATTGACCATATAATTGTGGGTTTATTTTGGAGCTGTCCATTGTGTTCTGTTCTCTGTGTGTCTGTTTTGGTGCCAGTAACATACTATTTTGGTGACTAATAGCTTTGTAATATAACTTGAAGTCTGGAATTATAATACCTCCAGTTTTGTTTTTTTGTTTCACAGTCGCTTTTGGTATTTGGGGTCTTTTGTGGTTCCATACAAATATTACAATTCTTTTGTTCTAGTTCTGTAAAAAAATGCTCTTAGTATTTTGATAGAGATTTCATTAAATGTGTAGATTGCTTTGGGCAGTATAGACATTTTAATATTTTTTCTTATCTATGAGCATGGAAATGTCTTTCCCTTTCTTTGTGTCTTCTTCAATTTCTTTCATCAGTGTTTTCAGATAGAGGTCTTTCCCCTCTTGGGTTAGGTTTAATGCTAGATAGATTATTATCTTTGGTGCAATTGTAGATGGGGTTCTTTCCTTAATTTCTATTTCTTCTGCTTCATTTTTAGTG